TAGCTTCTCTTGAAGTCTAAGCTTTTCATTGCTCCTTGACACTATGTTATAATAGCGTTCACCACTAAAACTAGTTGAGGGACTTCTCGGGGTACCTCTTCTTTTCTTGACTTGTTGCCTCCTCGCCATTGCTTAGGGTCAAGAACCCTGAAATCCTCTAATCATTATAGCTACAGCCATCTAGTGATTGTAGCTCTTTCCTTGGAGATTCATATTTCGCCCCCTTGTTTGTCTTAGCTTATTAGATCATCCACTTGTTTCCTAGTAGTAAAATCCTCGTACTACTCCTTCAACTCCTTCAAAATCCTAGAGGTATTCCCTTACGATTGGAACCTCTCCTATTATAACTTTAGTTATTTACCTTAATACGATTAGAGTAGACTGGAGATTCTATAGACTCTTAAAAGAAGACATTTGACTCGTTTTCCTTTCCTTTAAAACAAAACCTTTAAAAACTAGGACTGACATTCCAGTATTCCTTGGAGACTAAGGAACAGAGGAAGACCGGCTCTGATACCAAAATGGAACACCCTAACCTGGCCGGGTACTACTTTTACTAAAATGCCCTTGATAAATAAAATGCTCAAATCTTAAATTTCAGAGGAAAAAATTTCATAAATAAAATACTGAAAACACACACTTGTAGCTCAGAGCAAAGCCCTAACACGTGGGCAAATTAAACTCGAACTTTAAAATCTCAAACTGATCTCAAAATAATCTCCAGTCTGTACTCATAATCATAAATGTAATTAACTAATAAACTCTGAAGCTGTTGCTACTGAAAACCTTGACTAAGCATCCTCCATGACGCTTATACTGCTCTCCTCTAGATGGCTGCCCTCGAACCCGCTGCTCACTAACTGCTCCTCTAGCTCCTCAAACTGGTGAGTGAGATGGGGTCAGTCTACGCCCTTACGTTTAACCTCTTATTAGAACTTGAGCACTTTACTTAACTGTGTGAAAGTTGTTTTGTACTTCCACTATTGAAAAGCTTAACTCTTAAAACTGTATGGGAGTTACTGTTACTCCATTCTTAAATCTCAAAGCTTGACTTAAATACTTGACTGACACGGGGATCCCTCACTAGCTAAACCGGTTGCCAATTCATACGTATGAGAAGCTTCCTTAAACTTAAACTTAGTTAGGGAAGTCGTAACGATTCATCCCCCTAACATCTTAATGTATCGTGGTGGCTCTTCACCACGATTCTCAAGAGCATAACTGCTGCTCATCTTAAAAGTCTCAAGAGCATAACTGCTGCTCTGTCTCAAAGATCTCAAGAGCATAACTGCTGCTCTATCTGAAAATCTCAAATGGCAACGGACTGGCGCTAGTGACTAAAAACACTTCAAACGACTTCACCTCCTTGAAGGTGAGTTACTTCTTAAAAAGAACTTGTTTCTTACTCTTTAATAATAACTTATACTCGTTAAAATTTCAAAGTAATCAATAAACATTCACTTCAAGCACAGCTCAAACAAAATCACCTCAAATAGCACAAAGTCATCTCAAACCGTAACTCAAGCAAAGCACAACTAATCAATCATACACATAACCAAGCAACAATAACCAATTCGCTAAAATACTTAAAATCATAATACTTAAAAGAATACGTAAGGCGTAGAATTTACTCCCTTTACACTCACCTCTATAGGTGTCAATCGGGCGGGTTCGGGCAGGTTCGGGCTGGGTTCAATCGGGTTCGGGTTCAAATGGGTTGCGGGTTATTCGGGTTGCGGGTTCATCGGGTTAGGGTTCATCGGGTTCGGGTTCAAACGGGTTGCGGGTTAGTCGGGTTGCGGGTTCATCGGGTTCGGTTTCAATCGGGTTGCGGGTTCATCGGGTTTTGGGTCGGGCGGGTTGCGGGCGGGTCGGGTTTCGGGTTGTTCGGGCCAGTGCATCAAGTAACTTAAATCATTACTCATTACCAACTTACACATTTTATTACACTAATTTAAAATATTTTCTCAACTTTTTAACCAATTTATTTCTACCTCGTATATATATACTTTATTTTTTTGACAAAAACTAGTCAAAATTTTAAATCAATTTGTATGACTTGCAAACTTGTTATGTAATTAATCATAATTGGTAAAGTATTATAGCTAATAGTAATGGTGATATCAATATTTGCAACCAAAAGACACCGTTAATTGTTTATTTGATATTTTAGTATTAATTCAGTAGTAATTGAATTAAAGTATCTCGTTTAGTATAACCATGCAAATCTGGTATTTGCCGTGTGGTAATTGGCAAAAGCATAGTGATAAAAGGAGTTATTTCAAAATAACTCATTGCCCAAATAATTTCAGTAAACTGTTGCCAAACGAGTTATTTGTAAAATTGTTCGAATTATCCTAAAAATTAAACCATTAAAGATTAGCTATCAAATTTAGTAAAATTATTGTGACTTCAATCATAACTTACTCAATAGCATATATCCTATACACTTAGCCTTACCCTCAATCAACAATATTAAGTTAGTATATGTTGTTGATTGTATACCCTAAACCATCAATACATTATACACTAACTACATAACCTATACCCTAATCATATGTCCTTGAGTTGTGATTTTGCTAGTATAGTTAATTTAAAAGTGAAATTCATACTTTGATTTTCAAAACATAGATAAAAAGTGATATTTGCTAATTGTTATACCCTAACCATATATCCTATACTTTACACCACATACTTTGTACCCTAACCACGTACCATAAACATAAATTAAAAAGGGATCTCCTGCCGTTAAAGACTTCAAATGACTTCAAGTGAACATATGTTAATAAAAAACTTAGAACCGTCAAAACCATCAATATCTTATACCCTAACCATATACACCCTAAACCATATGTACCTTATACCTTATACCCTAACCATATACTTTATATCCTAAACAACGAACCGTCAAAGATTACTTATCAAGTTAAGTATAAATTGTTGTAACTAATGGTTAATTCATTTATTAGCCCATAAACAATTACATACATATATACATATTAGCCTTCAAAACATATAAGAATAATTTTAACTAGTCATGCCCTCCATATAAAAGTTAACGATTCATATTTCAAAAGCTAAAATTATGAAAAACCAAAAAATTGAAAACACCAAATTTGTTTCCTTCTTTCTTTTCACAAATTACTAAAATTTCCCTCCTTCTTTCTCTTTCCATACATTAGAAAAACTCAATTTTCCCTCCTCTTTCTCTTCCATAAAATTGAAAGAAACAAATTACCCTCTTCTTTCTTTCTACAAAAAGTTGAAAAGTCAAAAGTTTCCCTCCTTATTTCTCTTTCATAATCAAAAAAATCAAACTTTCCCACTTCTTTCTCTTCCCACATATCAAAACCACAAAAATTCCCACTTGTTTCTTTTCTAAAAAAATTCAAAAAACCAAATTTCACTCTTCTTTCTCTTCCCAAAAACTTGAATACACCAAAATTTTCCTCTTATTTTAAAAACATCAAATTACCAAATACATTACTTTACTTTATTTATATTTAATTGATAATTTTATTGAATAGTTAAATTAACCAAAATTTTAATTTATATATTATATTAATATTGTCATTATCTCTACCTTCATGTTTCAATTTTGGTAGTTTTCTTAACATACGTAATATCAAGTGAGTTTCATATTTTTTAAATTTCTTATACGAAATGAAAAAATAATTTTACTTAAGTTTAGAATGCAAAACTTTATTTTGAAAAACTATGTATTGTATATTTTTATAATTATTCAAGTGGATTAGATGAAATTCGGGTTGAGTCGGTCGGGTTACGGGTTAGTCGGGTTCGGGTCAATCGGGTTCGGGTTAATCGAGTTGCGGGTCAGTCGGGTTGCGGGTCAATCGGTTCGGGTTAATCGGGTTGCGGGTCAGTCGGGTTGCGGGTTAGTTGGGTTGCGGGTCAATCGGGTTGCGGGTCGGGCGGGTTACGGGTTGTTGACTTTTAGTCAATTCGAATTGCAGTCGGATTGCGGGTCGGGTTGATCGAGCGGGTTAATCGGGTCGGGCTATGTTTTGACACCTATACTCACCTCTTTAGTACTAAGTCGATGAACCTCAATCCTCATTGTGGTGCACTTCCCCTGATACCATGCTTTCAAGCGTGCGTTGCTATCCCCAATCACAAGTGGACGATGGACTTGATCCATGTAATCCCTTCCTTTAGCTGTTGCCCTCTTCCAATCATCACCACTAGTGGACAAATGCTCAAGAGCACGACAACCAACATTGTCCATAAAACCCTATTCCTCTATGCAATTTTCAAGAATAAATCCAACCCTTTATCCATTATTCCTTCGCCTCCATGAAACCCAATTCCTCTCGGCCCTTAGCAAAAATTGATCCTCCTGTCCGTTTACGAGAAGGGAGTTGATTGAGAAATTTTACAATGCTATATAGTATTGGTGCTATAGGTTTTTGCTTTTATGGTACAACTTAAAATTGTACATTTACGTTATGGTACAACTTCAGATTGTACCTATACTTTTTGTGCAAATTCTTTTACGGTACAACTTGAACTTGTACCTTTATGTGATGGTACAACTTCAAGTTGTAAAGTTGTACCATAACATAATGGTACAAATTGCTTTATGGTACAATCTAAACTTATACATTTAATGTCATGGTACAACTTTGAGTTGTACATTAAAGCACCAATGCTATATAGCATAGTAGAAGTGCTCGGAGTTGATTCCCTCAAATTTTGTGTCGCGAGAGTGGCGAAGCCATTCCCTGCATGTCTGTCCATTTTCCTTCTTCTGCCTTGTCCTCTTTCGCCCTGCTGCGGCCGCTTCAAATGATACAGTGACACCATCCCAACCGCTTCGAGACGACGACATGCTAGATACCTCGGCATTTGGGGTTCATGTGGAGCATCCGGTTTTTTCTTAGCCAATGAAGTAGAGAGCAGGTCCGATGGATGATCCTAGCCAATACCATAACAAAGCCCAATCATCTAAATCAATTCCCTCCGCGAACCCAGAATGAAAGATGAAACTTGAAATTTTGAATCCCAGCACACGATCTCTCTTCTGTACTAGAACCCCTAAATCCCTGCCCCAAACCCGATTTCCCTCCTCGGCCATCCAATCGCCCTTCACTGGAATCGTCGAAGAAAATAATGGTGGCGATGATGGCCGGTTGCTGCTCGACTGCTGCGCTGGCGAGGTCGGGATGGGGGTGCAATGTCGGGGCTGCTACTCTCGGCTTCGCTGGCTAGACGAGGAAGAGAGGGATGGGGGACAGCTGGGGAGTTCTTTGGGGGAACCGAGAGGTCAAGCGGTTGCTCGGCTGATGCTAGCTTAGGTTTAGAGGGTTTTTTTTAATATAATGGTAATAATAATAATAATATAATTATTATTATTATTCCTAATCCCCATTTGCAACTCTTCGTATAAACTCGTTAAACCAACCGTTCACGTAAAATGGTCGAACCTGAACCGAAAGATCGGGGTGTTACATTGACGGAAGCGAAGAAGTGGAGTGATTTGAGCATGCCACAAAAGATAGATGGTTGGGTGAGCTTGATAGTCAGCTGTGGATTCGATGAGAGAGACAAGGAAGAAATCGACAGCGATGTAGAGTTGCCAGGGGCACAGGTAAAAGAATCAGAGATGATTCAGTTGTCATTCTAATAGAAGAAAGAAAAAGGAGAAGACGAGAGAAACTCGTTATAGTGTTAAGGCTCGAACACCATAAAGGTGCAGAAGACCCGTCATTTCTATTATTCAATCAAATCTTTACAGTACAATGAAAACAGAGTGTGCAACGGAAACTAAGGAACAAAAAGGAGTAGAACAAGGAGGGAGTGAGGAGCAAAATGTTCCACTAATTATCTAGCAATTCAAATCATATTAAGTAGGGAGAATGCAAAAGGGGCCAACTATGAGCCCTCAAATTTGAAAAAAATTGGGCATACATACAAGACTCCAAGTGGTTGAAACATGCTAAATAATCGTCCACAATCACTCTAAAATCACACTCGCTCCTGATCAAGCTTTCAAACATTTATGGCATGAGTAATGTTGATAATAACATTCCACACAAGCATTTATGCACAACCCCCCCCCCCCCCCCCCCCCCCCCAACATACACACACTTAAAGAACACATTAGAAAGGTAAAAGGATAGGGGATTGAAGTTACCAAAATGCTTTGTAGAAGTGATAGTGGGATCGAAGGGTTAAGGTGGATTGGTTGATCTCCTCCCAAAGCTAAGGAATCGCCTTTTGGACTCGGTCTCTCGACCTCTAGGTGACACTTATAGTTGTTGTTGGTGTAATTGCTTATGGTGTAGTGGTGCTTGAGGATCGAATTGTTGTGTGGAGTTTCAAGTGTATTGGTCACTCCATTGATTGGAAGTTTGAAGTTTTTACCACCTCTGGCAGAGGAGCATTGGAACTCTCTCCTCTTCAGAGGATTAACCCTTATAAAGGTTCCTACACACACAAGAACAATTCATACCCATCCATGCCAAATACGTTTCATCAATAATTGAAGAATGCATTGAACACTTCTCATAATTCCTAGGATCCATTCTTATACACCCCCCACACTTGATGGTTACTATGTAAAACAAGGGTGAAAAGTGGAAAATAATGTCGGTTTAGGTAGTTAACAATCTCGATTGATTGGTTCTATTGACCACATGTCAATCTATGGGTTTTAATGTCGTGGCCAAAGGCAATAAACAACCTAAACGACTAAGGAAGGGATATGGACTGATTGCTCAAAAATCATATCAAAGTGGTAAGCTTTGGCAAGCAAAGGGACCATACACCTTATACCAATCGATCAAGATTCAAAACTACCCATCAAACATGCTTCTAATGGTCTAACATAAGCATTATAGTTCATTTGGCATGCATCAAAACATTACAAGCACAAATTATGTGGTTTGGGCATTTCATCAAGCACTTGGTGGGCTAGAATCAAATCATCTAGAATCATGCAATTCATGCAATTCATGCCCACAAACGCCTCCAAACCACATACATTCATTCATAAACATGCAACACCTAATAACACATCAACATTTCATCATTTTCCCTTCACCTTAGTCCATTGGAACTCATTCTTAACTAAGGTATGGTCATTTGCTAATAACCATTTCTTCATCTTCTTCACTTTCTCCTTCTTTACTCACAACCTCATCAATGCTCCCTACTTTAGTTTTCTCTTCTTGATGATTAGGAGAAATGATGGTTCTACAAGGAAGATCTTCAATAGATGGATCTTCAATAGATGGATCTTCAAGGTCCACTTGCTTGTCCACCCTTGAGACTACTCCCTTTTCTACTACTTCCTCTTTTCCTTCATTCTTGATGTCAAAGAGGCTCTCTTGATTGAGTCTCAAGCAAAGTTGCTCAATAACTCTTCTATTCTTATCTATCCTATTTTGCATCTCTTCTTGTTCCTTGAGGAAGTCTTGAGTAGAAGGGTCGGACTTCCCTTTAACCTGAAAGCAACCCGGAGGAACGTTGGGATCGTTAGCATCTAGGCACTCCATTGGGATGTTGTAGCGCTCGTATTCTAACTCTCCAAGGCTCTTTGGTGTAGGCGGTGGTGAATGTTGAAGTGTACTCCCACTCCCGGCCATGAGTTTTTCTAACTCGAGCTCCAATGGCCATCTCCAACACGGTCTTCGCCATAGGTTGTGGAGGTGGTTCTTGGAATGATGGCGGAGATGCTTGGTTACGATGGAGGTACGGTTGATAGGCATGGAGAGGTGGTTGTTCTTGAAACCGGGATCCTTGGCTACTACCAATTCGGCCTTTTGTGATCTCGCCACTTGATAGGGCAAAAGCGTATAGCTTCAATTCCTATCTCGTAGTAAACCGGAAAGTCCGGGTATCGTCTCTCAGGGACTGGTACAACCTTATATTCTATCAATTCTATGGAGCAAACTATAGGTGAAAATGGTTTAATTGGTGAAACTATTATCTAATAGCAAAATAACTAAACAAAACAAGCAAATTAAAGTTGTTGGGAGAAATCAATGGAGAAAGCTCTGGGAGAAATACCGGGACTCACTATCTATCATATCCAAATCAATTCACTTTTATGATCAAATTATCCATATCTCTACAACCAGGATATCACTATTGTGCTAGCTATCCCTGTCGGGAATTACAAAGTACTAAACAATTAAATCAAATCCTACTGTCGTAGCTCAATGAGTTAATTATTTAGTCTGGAGACCGATATCCCAATCAAGACCGCATAGCACCTTATTTAATCCACTGTTGCTTCGATAAGTTACTATGTCACATGAAATAGGTTCAGTTATTAGGGTTTCACTGTTGCTAATAACCTAATTAACAATGAATCAATGTATTGGTGGCCAGCCAACACAAAGCATTAAGTAATTCCATGTAATAGAGATTGGAAGAAAAGAGATATGAATTAATCCATCAAATCTAGAAATAGTTATATCCTATGGTGTTTCCCCCGGAAATTGGGGTTTAGTTCATGACGAAAATAAAATACACAATCATGTTCATAATCATCATGTCACTGATTAAAATAACGGGACGAAAATACTCTGATAAAATCTCAAGCTGCGATGCGATCGGCCAGCTCTCCGATTAGAATTCTGCGCGCTGCTGCTTTCGTCCCAATTCTCTCCAATTATTCCGCCCTCCAAGCTGCTCCTTTTTTCCTTCTGCTTCTCGCAATTCTTCCTCTTTATTCGCCCCCAGAGGATTCTGTCTTTTTCCTCCCCAATAAATCCCAGCCGCCAGCCCTGCTGCCTTTCCTTCGCCCCAAAGAGAATTCTTTTCCTCCCTAAATTGTGTTCGCCCCCAGTCCACTTCCGGTCCATTTAGGCCCCCCGCAACCTTGGCCGTTCCAATTGCTTTTTGTCATTCCCTGCCCAAAAGCCTCCATCAATTGGGCTTTAGCCCAATTATTTGTTGTGGAAGAAATATCGATCCAATTCCTCCCGCCATCTCCTGCTTCGGAAGTTCCAGTGCTGCCATTTTATCTATCTTTTCACCTAAACACACACCAAAACTCCAACACAAAATGGTAATGGCTTTTCAACCATTACGGATTAATTCTCCCTAAAATAGCACCAATCGCCTTAAACATACCATGAGATAGTCACATAAAGCTCAAGAATCCGATATATTAAAGCCGATTATCACAACCCCACACTCAATTGTTGCTTGTCCCTAAGCAACGACTCAAACAACACAAACACATAACCATCCAAAACAATGACACACCACAGACTCAACACTCAAAACAAAACAAAATTTTCCTTGTACTCTTGTTGTAATCAGTAGTTTCTTTCTCAAAGGACAAGTTGTGCTTTAATGATCATATCTTTCACCCCACACTCAAGGTCTTTGCAACCATTTAACATTGACTGACTCCAATCCACACAAAAAACTCAAATAGCAACACTCAATTCCGATCGTCGGTAGTGGGTGATTAACAACTTATGGTGCAACAATTATTAGGAGAATCTAACCACATCAGTGAGGTGCATATATCGTGAGGACAATCTGGCTAACTCACACCAATCATAAGCAATTAATTAAGCATGAGTCTCAAAAACAAATGGGGAAGCTTTTAGCAAACTTGATTTTACTTTAAGCACATCACTACCTTTCTGACAAGGAGAGGCTTTCTCTCTTTCTGATTTTGCTTGCCGAGTGGTCGTATTTAGTAAAAGTGGGATTTGTTTCTTACTACCGGTGACCGAGCAAGAGCAATTTCTGCTTCTTAGCACTCGCATAAGGGCTTCTTTCAACTCCTTTTCCTCGGTCCATGTGGAGGGTCACTGCACATCCTCAAATGGCACTTCACTCAATGGGGAATCGTACTTGATAAGCAACATCGTACGTTCACGAACCGATTCTCAATTGAATCTTTCCTAATCCCCATGTGCAATGAGTGATTGCCTCACACGATTTTGGCATTTTTACCCACACTTCAATTGTTATGGCAACTTTCTTATATTTTACTTGTCAGGTAGGATTTTTCTTTTATGAAGATACAGTTCACCCCATCATAAAACAATCAAAACAGAGAGACTCAATGCAAAGTCAACAACTCACAATAGATGCAAGTAAGCACGGTATCCAAACATGTCGAATGGTCAATGTTCTCCACCTAACTACTTCACCAAAAGTCATTACACTATCCTCACAAAAGAGAATGTTGTTAAAAGAGTTTGCTCATTCAAAGCATATCCAGTCAGTCAAACTATTCAAGCTCATTATGCAGAAATTTGCAATTCAACACCAGTGGGGTGATTTTGATGATTTCATTTAAGCACAAACTCATTTCACACACATC